TTGTTTTCCAGAGAGGGTGAAGAGGGCGCGGTTATTTTCAAGATTAACTAGGACCGAGGGTTCGACCCATGTACTGGAAATCAAAGCCGCATATAAGGTCCATTAACCTACTATGTTTAGGGATCTAATTTGAAACCCTGATAGACGACCGCTAGCTAACCCAGTAGGTGTCTCGCATTTTTTCGTGGTGTGCCATGGTGTGCCCTGGTGTGCCCCTGCTGACTTTAACGGTGCCTGACGGCTGAAGGCCTTCAAATTTATCATGCTGACCGTTCTCGGGAACAGCGATGTGTCTGTGATTTACGACGTGTCTCCCGTGCTTGGTTCGCTGCTGATCATCATGTTTCTGGTGAGTATTTTCTTCATCATCATGAGACTATGCAGCATGCAGAAAACATAAGAAAACCATGCTTCGGAGTGATTTTTGGGGGAATGTTTGCCAAGGGGAAACAGCTTGGGATGGGATGAGAGAAGGGGGGTACAACCAAACCCATGTTGAGGCCAAGTTTCAGGGCATGTTTGAACTACATCTTCATTGGCTGTGTTTGGCCCCCGGTTGCCAGCTCTCACAACGAGGAATCTGTTCTATGCGATTGTCGTCAGCACGCTCTCAGATGCCAAAATCGAAGAAGATGCAAAGCAGAAAAAGTGACTTTTCTGAAACATGGGTTGTGCATTGAGGCGCGCTCAACGCCGCAGTCAGCATACGGTGACATGTCTTGGTGATGAAATGCACGTCATGAATTCCTTCAGCTCAGAGGATGGATGTTGGAGTATGTTGGGTGTATGTCCTTTGTGTCACTGAGGAAATGGGCGGTACTCTCAGACCGTTTGAGTGAAACCTGGAAAGCAATGAACCGTGGTGGCCAGCTGGAGAAGCAGAATCTTGGCAGGTCGAAACCGTTTGGAGAGAGTCCTCAAGCACAAGCAATGACAACGATACGTTGAATTAGACATGCGCTGCATTTGGCCAGGCATCACGTATGGCAACGTTGAGTCTGAATGATGCAAACCTGTCGTGCATGCCATGTTTATGTTTAAACCATTTTTAGCCAGTGCACGTGGGCGACCGGAGAGAGGGGACAGGACATGTTGAGTCCATTTCGCAAAAATTCCCCCCATGCTCAGATATTCATAGGTATTCATTAAATTACGTTGTCCAGCCATTTCCTGCTCGCACAAATTCAAGACTTGCTGTAGTCTGAATAATCATTGCAGGTGTTCTGCCAGTATTTTGGGTCTCCACCAGGATACCAGGGCCTCACCTCCTAGCACATGTTTTGGCAGTGTATGGCTTTGTCATTTTTTCCGTATCACTGGTGCTTGGACATTACCAGTTCCTTACAGATTGCAAGAGGAGAATCTCAAACCCGTTGCATCGGATTTGGGTTTTCTCCCCACTCTAGATTTTAGCAAACTGCTGACACCCTCCTCACACACACACAACCTTGCCAACTCTCTAGGGCGATCCAAACCAGAGCCTTATGCCAGATAGACTGCCAGGATAGGATGCCAAATCGGATGCCAGATCAGATGTTCAAGTAGAATGCCAGATAGACTGCCAGGATAGGATGCCAAATCGGATGCCAGATAAGATGTTCAAGTAGAATGCCAGATAGACTGCCAGGATAGGATGCCAAATCGGATGCCAGATAAGATGTTCAAGTAGAATGCCAGATAGACTGCCAGGATAGGATGCCAAATCGGATGCCAGATAGGATGTTCAAGTAGAATGCCAGATAGACTGCCAGGATAGGATGCCAGATAAGATGTTCAAGTAGAATGCCAGATAGACTGCCAGGATAGGATGCCAAATCGGATGCCAGATAGGATGTTCAAGAAGAATATTAGATAGACTGCCAGGATAGGACGCCAAATCGGATGCCAGATAGGATGTTCAAGTAGAATGCCAGATAGACTGCCAGGATAGGATGCCAAATCGGATGCCAGATAGGATGTTCAAGAAGAATGCCAGATAGACTGCCAGGATAGGATGCCAAATCGGATGCCAGATAAGATGTTCAAGTAGAATGCCAGATAGACTGCCAGGATAGGATGCCAAGTCGGATGCCAGATAAGATGTTCAAGTAGAAAAAAAAAAATGCCAAAGATTAGACTGCCAGATAGGATGCCAAATCAATCGGATGCCAGATAAGAATGTCAAGTAGAATGCCAGATAGACTGCCAGGTAGGATTCCAAATCGGATTCAAGATAAGAATTTCAAGAGAATGCCAGATCGACTGCCCAGGATAGGATGCCAATCGGATCCAATATAAGATGCTCAAAAGTAGAATGCCACGAATAGACTGGCCAGGATAGGGATGCCAAATCGATGCCAGATAAATTGTTCAAGTCAAATGCCAGATGACCTGCCAGGATAGGAGCCAATCGGATTCCAGATAAGATGTTCAAGTAGAAATGCCAGATAGACTTCCAGGATAAGGATGCCAAATCGGATGCCAGATAAGAGTTCAAGTAAGAATGGCCAGACAGACTGCCAGGATAGGATGCCAAATCGGATGCCAGATAAGATGTTCAAGTAGAATGCCAGATAGACTGCCAGGGATAGGATGCCAAATCGGATGCCAGATAAGATGTTCAAGTAGAATGCCAGACAGACTGCCAGGATAGGATGCCAAATCGGATGCCAGATAAGATGTTCAAGTAGAATGCCAGATAGACTGCCAGGATAGGATGCCAAATCGGATGCCAGATAAGATGTTCAAGTAGAATGCCAGATAGACTGCCAGGATAGGATGCCAAATCGGATGCCAGATAAGATGCTCAAGTAGAATGCCAGATAGACTGCCAGGATAGGATGCCAAATCGGATGCCAGATAAGATGTTCAAGTAGAATGCCAGATAGACTGCCAGGATAGGATGCCAAATCGGATGCCAGATAAGATGTTCAAGTAGAATGCCAGATAGACTGCCAGGATAGGATGCCAAATCGGATGCCAGATAAGATGCTCAAGTAGAATGCCAGATAGACTGCCAGGATAGGATGCCAAATCGGATGCCAGATAAGATGTTCAAGTAGAATGCCAGATAGACTGCCAGGATAGGATGCCAAATCGGATGCCAGATAAGATGTTCAAGTAGAATGCAGATAGACTGCCAGGATAGGATGCCAAATCGTATGCCTATAAGATTTTCACGTAGAATGCCAGAATAGACTGCCAGGATCCAGTAGGCCAATCGGATTGCCAGATAAGATGTTTCAAGTATAATGGCCAGATATAAGGTGCCAGGATAGGAAATGCAAACTCGGATGCAAGAATAAGTGTCAAGTAGAATGCTAGATAGACTGCCAAGATAGGATGCCAAATCGGATGCCAGATAAGTGTTCAAGTAGAATGCATATAAACTGGCCCGGATAGGAGCCAAATCGGATGCCAGATAGGATGTTTTCAAGTAGAATGCCAGATAGACGCCAGGATGATGCCAGATAAGATGTTCAAGTAGAATGCCAGATAGACTGCCAGGATAGGATGCCAAATCGGATGCCAGATAGGATGTTCAAGAAGAATATTAGATAGACTGCCAGGATAGGACGCCAAATCGGATGCCAGATAGGATGTTCAAGTAGAATGCCAGATAGACTGCCAGGATAGGATGCCAAATCGGATGCCAGATAGGATGTTCAAGAAGAATGCCAGATAGACTGCCAGGATAGGATGCCAAATCGGATGCCAGATAAGATGTTCAAGTAGAATGCCAGATAGACTGCCAGGATAGGATGCCAAGTCGGATGCCAGATAAGATGTTCAAAAAGAATATTAGATAGACTGCCAGGATAGGATGCCAAATTGGATGCCGGATAGGATGTTCAAGAAGAATGCCAGATAGACTGCCAGGATAGGATGCCAAATCGGATGCCAGATGGGATGTTCAAGAAGAATGCCAGATAGACTGCCAGGATAGAATGCCAAATCGGATGCCAGATAGGATGTTCAAGAAGAATGCCAGATAGACTGCCAGGATAGAATGCCAAATCGGATGCCAGATAGGATGTTCAAGTAGAATGCCAGATAGACTGCCAGGATAGGATGCCAAATCGGATGCCAGATAGAATGTTCAAGAAGAATGCCAGATAGACTGCCAGGATAGGATGCCAAATCGGATGCCAGATAGGATGTTCAAGAAGAATATAGATAGACTGCCAGGATAGGATGCCAAATCGGATGCCAGATAAGATGTTCAAGTAGAATGCCAGATAGACTGCCAGGATAGGATGCCAAATCGGATGCCAGATAAGATGTTCAAGTAGAATGCTAGATAGACTGCCAGGATAGGTTGCCAGATAGGATGTTCAAGAAGAATGCCAGATAGACTGCCAGGATAGGATGCCAAATCGGATGCCAGATAGGATGTCCAAGAAGAATGCCAGATAGACTGCCAGGATAGGATGCCAAATCGGATGCCAGATAGGATGTTCAAGTAGAATGCCAGATAGACTGCCAGGATAGGATGCCAAATCGGATGCCAGATAGGATGTTCAAGAAGAATGCCAGATAGACTGCCAGGATCGGATGCCAAATCGGATGCCAGATAGGATGTTCAAGAAGAATGCCAGATAGAATGCCAAATCGGATGCCAGATAGGATGTCCAAGAAGAATACTAGATAGACTGCCAGGATAGGATGCCAAATCGGATGCCAGATAGGATGTTCAAGTAGAATGCCAGATAGACTGCCAGGATAGGATGCCAAATTGGATGCCAGATAGGATGTTCAAGAAGAATGCCAGATAGACTGCCAGGATAGGATGCCAAATTGGATGCCAGATAGGATGTTCAAGAAGAATGCCAGATAGACTGCCAGGATAGGATGCCAAATCGGATGCCAGATATGATGTTCAAGAAGAATGCCAGATAGACTGCCAGGATAGAATGCCAAATCGGATGCCAGATAGGATGTCAAATAGAGTGTCAGATAGACTGCCAGAAAGGATGCCAGATAGAATGCCAGATAGATTGCCAATGTCAGATGGAATGCCAGATAGAATGCTTGCAAGAATGGATGATAAATAGAATGTCAGTCAGAATGCCAGATAGCATGTTGATAGAGTGCCAGATAGAATGTGAGATAGAATGCCAGATGGAAAGCTTGATAACATGTCAGCTGCCAGATAGATTGCTGAACGTCACGTAGAATCCCAAATAGACTGCTTGATAGAGTGCCTGATGGAATGCCAGGTAGAATGTCAAGTAGAATGCCAGATAGCATGCCAGATAGAATGCTCGATCGGATGCCAGATAGAATGTCAGATGGCATGTCAGATGGAATGCCAGAAAGCATGCCAGATTGAATGTCACATATATTGTCAGATAGAACCCAACATACATTGGCAGATAGGTTGCCAGATAGATTGCCAGATAGAATGCCAGAAAGAGTGCCAGATAGAATGTCAGAAAGAATGTTTGATAGAATGCCAGATAGGATGCCAGATAAGATGCCAGAAAGAAAATAAAATGCCAGATAGAATGTCAGATAGCCTGCCAGATAGCATGCTAGATAGATTATTTGATAGGATGCCAGATAGAATGTTAGTTAGGATGCCCAATAGAAGGCTTGACAGAATGCCAGGTAGAATGTTTGAAAGAATGAGAGATAGAATGCCAGATAGCATGCCAGAGGGAATGCCAGATAGACAGCCAAAAAGGATGCCAGAGAGAATGCCAGATAGGATGACGCATAGACTGGCAGATAGAATGCCACATGTAAAGCCAGAAATGCTAGATAGAATGCCAGATTGAATGTCACACAGAAGTCACATAGAATGCCAGAAAGAACGCCATGTAGAATAGCAGATAGAATGCTTGATAGGGTGCTTGATAAAATGCTTGGTAGAATGCCAGGTGGAATGCTTGATAGAAGCGAGTTAGAATGCTTGATAGAAGCCAGATAGAATGCTTGATAGAATGCTTGATAAATGCCCAATAGTATGTTAGATAATTTAGAATAAATGCAATGGTGGGGACCACTTGAAGATTTTTTGTTGTGGATTTTGAAGAGAAGGGGCAAGGCAGCAAGACGAGCAAAGCTGCCAATCCGTTGAATCTGCCAAGCCGAGGATCCGTGGATGTGTTCCTGGTCTCTACTCCCGTATGCTGAAGCGCTACAAGCGGCTGGAGGAACGAGAGCTCGCCAGAGACGAGTCTGTTCGGAAGAAGCAGCTTCAGCTACTGTGCTGAACACCGAGACACGAATACACTTTGAAAGATTGAGTAAGTGATGTAAGTGCTATAAATGCCCTAAACTATGCTAAACCTTTTTGCTTAGCTATGTTTGTTTTACCATGTTGTGCCGAGCCTTGCCCATTCAAAACAAGTTGCGAGGTTCGGGACGCAGGATTCCAAGACTGAGACACTAGCTAATGAAAAGCAATTTATGCAAGCGGTTGACATTGCGATGGAAACTCTTGCAACTTACATAAATACAGAAAGACCCAGTTGTAATTTGAACGCTAATGGTCATGGAGCCATAGGTCCAGCGAGGGGATTCGTGAAAGCGATGCTGGATATGATACGGTTGTGATACAGTTCTTCAGATCATGCCGTTTTGGTGCAGCATGTATGGCGGGTGATGGCCGGTGTATGTTGAACGCCGCGGCACATACAGATGATTGTTGACGTCTTGTCCTGGCAAAAGCTAATGCCCAATCCCCCAAGCGCTTGAAGTGAAACAGCCAATACAGTACGCCCAAAAACGCCCATCGACGATTTTGACGTTATTTTGCGGAGTGGCTTGCTGATTGACCCAGTGATTCACGATTTCTCCCCCGGTCATCTCCTATTGCTTCCGGATTCTTCTACCAGTAGTACCGCACAAGGCGATGGCGGAAGTTTCAAAAATAGGAAACCTATAGGAGAGGTTGGTTGTTGTGAATCACGGATGGCAAAGCGAATCCACTGATGGACCGAAAGGTGGTTGAGGTCTCCTCTCTTTCTCTCTCTTTCTTTGACTATCTACCTACCTACCTACCTATCTATCTCTCTATTTATCTCTCTATTTATCTATCGATCTATCTCTCTCTCTCTCTCTCACCTGTCTATCTAACTATGTATCTACCTATCTACCTATCTACCTATCTACCTATCTACCTATCTATCTCTCTGTCTGTCTGTCTCTCTATCTATCTGCCTATCTGCAAGCTTGAAAACGAAGCTATGCTGCGAGACTTCCTCAGTTTGTGAACTTGACAATATCAAAAACGCAGCAATTCTGAAACAATTCTGCGAGACTTCCTCATTTTTCGAAGTTGACAACATCAAGAACGAAACAAATACTGCGAGACTTCCTTCAAAAATGGAAAGTTGAGTGCAGAGCTGACGGCCTCTTACCAATGCGTTTTGCGATTTTTCCAGTCCACCTGTCGGAAGTACTGCGCCTGCCATGAAAAAGTGATGCCAGGTCATACGAAGTGCTGCACCTGTCACGCAAAATCATCTCAGCAAACCTGAAAATCTGATGCTCCAAAATGCAACCCCTCTCAGGAAATCAGCGCCCGGACATCCTAACAGCTCTGATGAACATGTCTCTTGTACTGCGCCTGCCACGGAAAATGCATCTTTGCAAATCCTCTTCGAATGCCCCACGCCTGCCATCGTTTTTAGAAATGGTACAAGACCCTCACGTTTTGCTCACTTTTGACAAGGTGCACAATCCCTTGCGCCTGCCAAGCGAAACGACACCTGAACGTCCAAAAGTGGCGCGAACATGTGGTGTTTTGAACATTGTGACTTCGAAATGTGCTTCGCGCCACAACGGCGTGCACTTTTTCGACATCTGAACCTCCAAAAGTGGTCCGACCCCCTTGTGTTTTGTACATTTTGACTTCGGAATGTGCTTCGCGCCACAACAGCGTGCACTTTTTCGACATTGAAACTTCCAAAAGTGGTCCGGAGCTGGTGTGCTTTGTGCATTTTGACTTGGAAATGTGCTTCGCGCCACAACAGGGTACATTCTTTCGACATCGCAACTTCTTAAAGTGGTCCGGAGCTGGTGTGTTTTGTGCATTTTGACTTCAAAATGTGCTTCGCGCCACAACGACGTGCACTTTTTCGACATCTCAACTTCCAAGAGTGCTCCGAACATGCGGTTTTTTTTTGCTTTTTCACTTGCAAATGTGCTTCGTGCCACAACGGCGTGCAATTTTTCATCTCTCATCTGGCCAGCTGGCTCCGCACCCGCCGCTTTAGCGAGCCTACTTTTCGACCTTCCGGAGCCACAAATCATTGGAAAAACACAGTGTTTCGCGACTTTCCTACCTTTTCGCGCACCTGGATCTTCTTTCTTATGAGACTTTCTCTTCTCTGATCTTTTCTCTTCTTCTCTTCTCTTCTCTATTCTCCTGCTCCACCTCTGCTTTTCATCTGTCCATATTGTCGGAAGTTTGACTTCAAAACTTCCTTCGATCATCTGTCCATATTGTCGGAAGTTTGACTTCTAAACTTCCTTCGATAAAATGACCCAAAAATGTGTTTGTGATCAATGTATCGTCGCCCTCTTACATTGCTCGAAAGTGATTGAAAGCGTTTTTGCCGTACCTGTCATGAAGGAGCATACACGTGTATCCGAATATGCATTCCGAATGTTTTTCGTCTGTTTGCACTGTCGCAGACTGTCGCCCTTGTTTGGATAGAGCATGATATTCACACATAGACACGTATAGATCATATTATAAATGTCTCTCTCCTCGCGCTCTATGCATATACAGAATAATATATATATATATATATAGCAGCTGGTACAACCACACGCCATTTGCGCCTAATCAGACTCAGGATCGTTCTGTCTGACACCAGTCAGAAGCTGGGCCCGGCTAACCCAGTGTGGGGTCGGCGCACCAAGCGTCAGTTAGCCACGGTTCAAATTGAGGACAAGGCCTGTGGTGGGAAGCCCACCGATCACGGCGTCGCCATTTTGTGATAATGTAGGCTTTTCGTGGCTGCGCATGATCACAACCAGTTGCTGATTGATGCTGTTTCTTCTTGGTTTTTCATTTTCCAGGGTGATGTAGTGGCTAGCTGTAGCCAGGTCCAGGTTGCTTTTCGAAGCACATGGCTTTTTGAATGCTATTGAGGTGTTGCCGAGTTGCATGTTTCAACATATGCTGGCCTATGCTGCTGAAGTTGTTGAAATTGTTTGTTGCCTAGTGGCCGCAGGGAAGTCCAAAAAAGCTACGGGCTTGCTATGAAAAATGCCTTTATGAAGGTCTATTCTTAAACATTTAGAATCGTTTTATCCGAATGCGTAGCAAGGGTTCCCTTGTCACTCTGGGGGTTTGCGGGTTGAGGGTGTGTTCGCTCGACGTTGCGTTTGCGACCGCAACCGTCCGCAACCGCGTCATGGCCCTATGCCCGTGCATGCCTATGGGGAGTGCTGCAAAGGCGGTCACTTTTGTGGCACTTGAGAAGGACGGTTCCTTGCTAAGTACTTAGCCTGCTTAGCCATCTTAGGAGGCACTTAGCTAAACATAAGCTAAGCATCTGCTAAGGTTCAATTTCGTTCAATGGAATCCTTTAACATATAGTGTTTTGGTGGGAACATAAACTTGTTGAAGAAAGAAAATAAAATAACAAATCTCACCAGAATGGCGCGTGATTTTCTGCATTTTATGGCTATAATCATTATCCTGGCAAGAATGTGGAGCATGATTTGTTTTGCATTTGATGGCCATTCATTCAGCTCATTGTCCATGGTGTGATTGCATCTCACTGGAAGAAAAGTTGGTGCACAAAAGCAAATTGGAAGCAAATAGGTCATGCCAAAAGCACTGAGTGCTATGCCAAAAGCAACATGTCCATGAAGCATGCATGGCTTGCATGTATGAAAAGCAATGGGTGCTAAGCCAAAAGCACTGGGTGCTAAAATGAAATCTCTCCAGGTGGCATGCCAAAAGCACTGGGTGCTCAAATTGGTGCTTTCAAAGCAATGCACATGGAGAAGATGCCGCGGTAACTTAGAAACACCGCTGGTCAGGAAACTGCTGACTTTTTTCACTTGCCAACACATTGCAGCCTTTGGCAATGGTCACTGCATGATGTGGCCACTCATTCTGGTCCTGCATGGTCCTTGTCCATGGCATGGTCACCAATTCCATTGGTCGTGGTGCCATTGGTCATGGTGCCCTTGGTCTGGTGCTTGGTCATGGCCTCCTTGCTCAGGTGGAGGCCATGGCCCACAAAAATGTGGGCCAATTTCCATGAAGGATCGAACCCATGGCCTGCCACATCTGGTGCAAGTGGCTCTGTCATGGGTTCTGTTGCACCATATCCATGATGGGCACCCAATGGCACTGCAATGCTGTGCCCATAGATGGCTCCTTGGCTCACACAACTTGGACAAGTCTATGGCTGCTGGTGGCCATGGCCTATGGAAGGCTGTGGGGCGCCCAAGTTGGTCCATGCACCTTGGTTTGAGAGCTCCATGGGCTGGCACCTGGCCTGCTGGCTCTTGGGGCGCTTCTCCTTGCAAAGCATTTCCCATGGCTGTCAGTGCTGGTGGTTGGAAAGCACAAGGTGCTGGGTTTTGGAAAGCAAACAGCGCTGGCTTGGTACTAAAATTGCATACAAAACATGGATTTTGTGAAGCTTCATTTGCAACATGAAAATATGAAAGCGCTGTGTGCTAAAAGCTCCAAGCAACTCCTCCATGTCACAAACAAAACACAATGCTGAACACTGTGCACCTGGGAA